ACCCTCAGTTTTAAAATGTGTGTGTACGTAGTATTGCGTAGAAATGAATTCGGTACAAGTGAGTGAGGCGACTAAGTTATGTCCAATAACGCCCGCTTCGTGATCAAACATGTGTTATCTGCTGCAACCAGTAGCGAACCCATTCGTTGACGGCTTCTAATGAACGGTGCGTGTATGCATGGGATAGATCGGCGCCTGCAATTAATGATGTCTGCATCGGTGGGTCTCACAAAACTTTACGTCCTTGTCCACCTGCGAATATCCTTTCCAAACTTGCTCATGTGCATGCGCGATTCCCTGACACCGTCCGTAAAACTTATCAGGGCTGTCAAGCATCAATGCGACCGAGAAAGACACGCATATGTACTCAATGGAGCGTCGCGGTGACGCATACGTGGAGGACAAGGATGCACTCATGCGGCTGACTGGCTGAAACCATGCAGGTTGTCAGCACTGCGCGATCAAGGACATTCAGACTGTCAGCTGTAGAACAGCTGAAAGCGGCCCGCTTTTCATCGCCGTTCCACATGGGGCTGGGAACAGAAAGCCGGCACGGCATGTGAATTCCAGCGGGGGCAAACACGCAGACAAAACGCGTGCCACGCTATGGGCGGCGCTGATAAATTAATGATGAAGAGCTGTCTCTGGTGGCGGGCGCTTACGAGCACACGCTCGCAATGCGCTTCACGCCAGGCGGTCTGATGGATTGGGCTTACGAACGGAGGCACGCACCACCGGCGACGCGAAGGCGTGGCCTGAGTGGAAGACGTTCGTCAGTTGTGCCGCCGAGGTCATGGCAGTCCGACCTGCTCCGGAGACCTGAGAGGCGCTGAGAGCTGGTGTGCTGAGTGGTTTGATCACCTGGGTGACCGCCGACCTCCTGACTACCCGACCGGTCCCCGCTGCTAGCCTCCGCTAGGTCTCCAGCGGCTAGCCCCATTCGGAGCCCTCTCCTTTCCGCGAGCATTTACCATTCGCGAAGGTAGGGGACCACCCCCACCGGAGACTTCCGAGAGCCGCTCTGACCCGCTCCTTACCAGACACCCTCTCCCGCCGCTGACATCGCCACCTCTCCCCGCCAGCAGCGGCATGCGCCGCCTGCTGTCCGCCGGCACGGGGGAGTCGGCCGCCGTCGGCTGGGCCCGCTTCGCCGGCAAGGCGCTGCTGTACGTTGGCTGCCTGGTCGCCTGCCTCTACCTGGGCTGGCACTCGGTCAGCGTCTACCTCTCCCAGCCGGTGCGCTCCAGCACCCGCATGGTTGGCGCGGGCGCGCCGAACCTAACGGTGTGCCCCGGCTGGGGGCTGGCGGCGCCGGCAGCGGCGCTACGGCTCCGCTGGCGCGCAGGCAACATCAGCCAGGCGGCGTTCGTACGCGCGGCCGACCCTCCGCTGACGGCGGTTGTGGCGCGCTGCCACGCCGGCGGCCGCACCTGCTGCCAGCCGCGCTGCCAACCGGGCACTCTGGTGCTAGGCCGCTGGCGGCCGGTGCTGGTGATGGGCCAGGCGCGGCCGCTGCTCTGCCACAGACTGCAGCTGGACCGCGCCGCCGCCAAGCTCGTGCACCTCAACGGCGGCCTGGCGCTCGACTTCTACGTGCCGGCCGGCGCCACGCGCACCGGCAGCCTGTTCGAGGTGCTGGCGCACGACGGGCCGCGTCCAGTGCTGCGCTACGGCGTCGGCTCGCGCAGTCTGTCCACCTCGGCGGCACGCGACGCCGGCCGACCCAGCCACGTGGCCGTGCGCGTCGGCACCACGCACACGGAGAGCGTGTCGCGCCGGCGTCACCCGTGCAGCGTCGAGCCCGGCTACGACCAGCAGCGGTGCGAGATGGCGTGCGGTCACGCGGCGGCGGCGGCCGCCGCCGGCTGCCGCTCGCTCGGCGCCGGCGGGCCGCCGCCGGCAGCGCCCCCCTGCGGCAGCGAGGCGGCGCTGCGCCGACTGTACGACCTCATGTACCGCTCGCCAGAGGAGGAGGCGCTGCAATGCCGCTGCCCGCGCGCATGCCGCGTCACCGCCTACAGTGGCACGGAGGAGCGCCGCTTCTACGAGGGCGCGCTGCTGCCCACCGTCAACGTGGTGATGGAGCCGAGGGCGAGTCTGGTGCGGGAGCAGCTGGCCTCGTCGCTGCAGCAGCTGGTGTCCGAGCTGGGCGGCCAGCTGGGCCTGCTGCTCGGCTGCTCCGCCTGGACGCTGGTCGACCTGCTGTGGCGCGGCCTCGGCTGGCTGTGTCGCTCGAGCCGCGCGGCGGCGCCGCTGCTCTCTGCGCGCCTCTCCATGTCACCGCGCGCCGCGTTCGTCCGCTCCCGCCCCGCCGTCACCGTCCCGCCGCCGGCGGGCGACCAGGCAGCGCAGTTCCAGCATTGGCGCGAGGCGAAGCAGCCGTTCAGGAGCGGCGAGGAGCGGCCCGCCCAGAGAAGCCCCGGCGAGCGTCCGACCGTCACTATTATCCCGTGAGAGGGCGCTCCCTGCCAGTGCGCAGCGCCCTGTGCAGCAGACAGGCACGGAGCAAACGTGCCACACCCAGTCTCAAGCACAACTGCCGCTGCCAGTGCCAGACCGTGCCGAGAAAGCCGTAAGGACCACTGCACTACCCTGTATGTCATTTGCCGGTGGAATTAACATGGTATATACCAACTGGCATCTAGCAACTAGGACCAACTAGGCAAGGAATCTCTACCGGTCTAGGCTAGCCAGGATTTGCAGGGGACATCGCGTACAGATCAGTTGCTGCCTGTCGGCTAAGTGAAGAGCAGTCGTCTTTTTGCGGTTTAAGAACAGAAACCGACATGGTATGCAACATCATTTCACGACGTCTATAAAGCTGAGCCAGCACACCAAGGGCCTGACAACGCTTGCGCCATCACGATAACGACCAACGTGTCAGCTGCTAATCTTGGTCGTGGGAAAGAAATTGGCGGTGGTAGCCATACATGACATATATAACCGCGCTTAGACAGCAATGCAACCGTCGGGGGTCGTGTTGACAATCAAGAGCTTAAATGGCGCCACCGCAGCACCATCGTCCCTGCACAATGGTGTCGTGTCAACATGGTTGTTACAGACCACCGCCGCCGCGTTATATGATCCATATTGCACGGAACTAATCACCGCCGCTCACCACGTTCACATGAACCTGGACTCATACACAGACAGCACACGAGCGCACGTGAAGACTCAGCCTCACCTGAAGAGGCTCAAACGCAGCTGCATCTTGGGTTCTTTCATCTGCGACTCGCCGTGTAGTTCGGCCCTTATACGCACATTTCGTAGGTCTTGCTGCCCAGGACTAAAGCGATTTCGCAAGGCGCAGTCGACACAATACACTCTTTTAAGCTCAGGTGGCGATCGCGTGAACAGGAGCGATTAGTTGTAGGACGCTTTCAAATAGCACGTTCTTGCTTAGCACGACGGACGGCTGAGTGTTCTTGAAGTGTCCTGTCTGATGACGTCACGTGAGGAGCACTAGTTTCAATAAATGCTATACCGCAAGCACATACAGCCTTTTACCTGGACATGATGGGGAGCCGGCGGTGAAAAAGGAAGAGATGCACTCCCTGTCACCAACTTCAAACCGTTAAGTCACGGGGAGAAAGGGAATGTCTATAGACAAGGACCGCATAACTTCAAAGAATCGGCGCTTATGTTAGCGGCCAGATCAAATTTCAACCGTGACTTTTCGGAAGCCCATAAGCCGTAGCAAAACGAGTTCTGTTACCCATATGTTCATGGCAACTATCACCGTCAGCGACTATGCTTTAATGCTTGTTCCATTCCACGACTAAAACCATAAATAATGATGTTTCACCCAATACCGGTAGGTACTTGCTTCGATACACGTCGGCGATTTCAACGATCAAGTCGTAACTGGAACAATCCGCGACTGTTTCAGTGTAAAATTTATATCTAAGTAAAGGACAAAAAGGCGCCCGGATAGCACACCAAAGACAATCACCGAACAAAACGTTCATAGGGCGTCGTAGGTTCCTCAAGTATCCCAACGCACGTTGCAAACACATTCGTATCTATTCCGAAGATTGGTTTTGGCCTAAATGCACCACTGCTGCTCATGTCATAGCTTTGGTTTTATTCCATCGGTCCAATGGGGCATTTTAATGGCAGCCGATGCCCGCCGACAGACCGGTCACAAACTGCTTCAGCTGCCGCTGCGACTTCCTGACAGCATGCAGAAGCTGATACTGGATACTTACGCAACGTCAGCCAAACGCTCATGTCATCGCTGTCATTTATTCGTGTCAACTCCTCCACATATTTTAAAGCCGTCATCCCCCGCTAGAACGACCGTAGACTGTCCATGAAACGTAAAAAGAACGAGTCACGTGACCTGAGGTCCTCCGACCACACTGACTGCAGCCTACGTCATCATGACGTCACAGCTCTCACGTCACGCGGCCCGACACGCAGCGCTCCGTCCACGACTGACGTGGCCGTCACCATGACGTCACCGTCAGCTGGCGTCGAGCGTTGTTCACAGCAGTCTCGTTAGCGCCGTCGAATCGGTCAGCTACTGGCAGAACACAGCGCGCCTGCTACGCAGACAGGCGCGCAAGGGTGCGTGTGGGGGAGGGGGAGGGGGATGAAACGGGGCGGTGGTGCGCATGGCGGGCATGACGCGGAGGTGACGAGAGCGGCGACCTGCTTTCAGCGGCTCCGCGGCCCGCGCCAGCGGGACCGGGCGCATGGGAAAGCTCCGAAAAGGCCTGGACATCATGGGAGCGGGCACATCGCACGTGCATACACGCATACGCACACACCGGACAGCCGAAGAAGCAGTCGCAACACAATGAACACATGAGATTGCATATGTACCGATATCAGTATGAAAGGCACCCTCCCATAAGACACCAAGCTCAGTAGAATAGCCAACAACATGTTCACCACCGCTTCAATAAATAACAACACGCAGTCACTTCTGCCGCTGTCGCCACTTGCCGCTGCCGGCTGTCGGCTGTCGGCTGTCGGACCTGACCGACTAGCTCGGCTGCCGCCCTGCTCACTCGTCGCCGCACACTATCACAGAGCCGCCGCCGGGCCGACAGGTGCGTCATCTATTTGTACACAGTTCTGGTAAGTTCTGGTTGACGGCGCGGCCGACAGGTGTCGGTAGACACGCACGGTCCGCGGCGTGGCGGACCGCCTGGCTCGCGGAGGGCTCATTCCGCGTCTGGCTTGGACGAGTCCCGACCCGGGGTAGGCGACTCATCGCCGTTGGTGTCTGCAAAGGCAATGCGATATCCCAAACACGTTAGAAGGGGTGTGATATCACCTACATGTTTAAAGTGATAACGGTATGCCCCGATTACAGTGGTAAAGTGGCGAGCACACATGTAATGCCGAGTTCCCATTTCATACGAATGTTTTACAACGAGGCTTGAGGATCAGATGCCTCGATAAGCGAAACTTACTTTGAAGACGCCAACCATAACGTTCAAGGGAGGCAACTCTATTCCGCTGGTCAATTGTTGATCACTAGTTCGAAGGTGTCGCAGCATGGTTTCCGTGGTCGTAACTGGCATAGTAGTAGGGCAATCAGGCAAGAAAAAACTTGGTAACGACCCAAATCAGTCCTGTACTGGACACTCAGCGATAAACTATACAAAAAACTCACCGGGGTCGTCGTCCTTCTGTATGCGAACTATATCTTCCTTGCCTACTTTGCGCTTGCGGCTTCCTTTGCTGAGACCAGTTTCATCTTCCGGTGCCTTACTATCGGCTGAAAACAAAAAGACCGGTTACATGTGCATATAGCTTTATTGAACCCTTTCCCGGCATGCGGTATTCTGGAGCCACAGAAGACAAAACGTACAAACTCTTCTGAATTGCGTGTTAAAGGCTCTTACCGCTCTGGTCGCGTGGTGGCACCGGCAAAATATAGAACAATTCCTTGTCACACGAGCCACAGCATACAAGCAAAGCAAACGAACCGGCAAACCGGCGACTCCTAACCAACCGACCGAAAGTGAGCGCGTCCTTGCCAACGAGCCACAGTAGCGCCTGTCTGCCTGACGCGTTTCACCCTACTTCCGACTGGTCGCCCTCTCTCCTCGGGCCACCCCGCCGTTCCCGCTGGTTCCGGCAGCGGCTGCCTCGCCAGCCCACGTGCCGAGAACGGAGGGGGTGGTTTGGGGAGGGGGCTCGGTCGTGCCCTGCTCACCGGAGGTCAGGTCGGCCGGGGGACCGCGCTTCTTGCCCCGCCGCGGCGGTGACCCGCGGGCCAGCCCCGGCGACCCCGCCTTCACGCGGGCGCCGCTGCAACAGACAGACGCGCTCGGTCACGGTCACAGACGGGGTCAGCGCGGTGGCGCACGCCGAAAGCGGGGGGAGGGGGAGGGGCGCATAACGCCACGCGCATCAGTAAAGCGACTGATACAGCCTGACACAACTGACACGAAAACAGCCGCTAGGGCTGTGAATTGTCACGATGCAGGTGGTGTGAAAATCCATGTGAAGCTACACATCTCTGAGAGCCCTACCAGTGAATGCATTCGACATCTTAGGATGTTTATTTTTCGCGAGAGGTTACCAAACAGAAGTTCCCCGATGTAACCCTTGCGCGCATATTCCACAGATGGCGTTGACTGAGCATCGCTTGGCGTATATTTGGCTATGTTTGGCCGTTACGGTCGACGACATCGACGGCTTTGCGATAATTAACGGCTTTGATGCTATTCACAGTCTTAGCGGGCGCACCGACCGCGTGGCCGGTAGCTGCGATCAGAGCGTCGCAAACACAAATACTCAGGATGGACTCTGGTCACAAGGGACTACGCATGAGTACTTTCCATGGGCAGATCTCCCAAGGCCAATGTGCTGTGTTCGATACCCGGCCCGTATAAGGTGACCCTGGCCGCTTTCCTGTCGATTACTACGAGGCGGACACTTACGAGATCGTTCAGCGATTTGTACACGATACGTCGGCCTACAACGTGCGGTCGATTTCGTCTCTTTGCCTGCCCCAATTGGCGGGATCTGACATCGATCAATAAAAACGCCGCCGTTTGCGCTCGGCGGTCGTGACTGGCGGAGCACGCGGCCCTACTCTCGCCAGTGCGGCTGGCCGTCCTCCTGACAGTCTCTTGAAAAAACGTGCCGGTCTCTTGTGCCCCCCCCCCCCTCCACCCCACGACGCTAGGCCGTCGAGATCGGGGCTTGGTTTCAATCTGTGTCCTTTTTTGCACTGACCGATTTTTTCAGCTTCCAGCTTAATTGAGTGGGGATAGTGAAGGACGTTTCCCTGTTGCCGTAGTAGACGGAAGGATAGGACAGCGATTTGCCCACTACGTGAGGATAGCTTCAAACTGCGCTGTTGCATGAACACCATCCTGACCACACGTCTTGCCTTGCACGTGCCTGAAATCGCACACACCACAAATTCCAAAGACTACACTTTTTGCTGGAGACCCCATGCAACCGAGGCCGACAGTTGTAAAGATGCAATCATTTCTAAGGCGTGATGGCTGAGCCGAGCCGGGTCGTCCAAGTTAAAAACGTTCTCATAGTTGTAGTGAGACTTGCCCGGCCCGGGGCATCGCCAACAAACAGCCGATTTAATCGCATCGCGGCGAGTGGTTCTCAGGTTTACAGTCTCACGTCACAACTTACAGCGTTCCTAAGCCGCAGTGGAGCACGCGAGAGCAATCTGCACATGAATCTCGCCCGACGGCCGCGTCACGTGTAAATAAGCAGGCTTCAGCGCTGTGGGGAGCGCGTGACGACAGCAGCTGGTGTGCGTGATGGGACCAATGCGACTGCGAGGGACGGGTAGATGGCGGCCCGTCCATCCCCCCTCCCCTCCCCCCCCCCCGGCGCTGCCGAGCGATGACCGGACGGGTCGGACAGTACGATTCTTGCTCAGGGAGAGTTGGCCAGACGCCTCGTCAACCTCGTGTCCCTCCTCAAGCAACAGCTGGATCTGTCGGCCAATCGGAGACTCCGCAGCACAACCAAACGCCAGTGCGGTACCGCCGCCCGGCCCACCGGTCCACCGCGAGGCAGGCGCGCAGGGACCCTGAGGCGGGCACCGGGTCGGGCCGCCGACGGGTGATCTTACACAACGGCAGCGGCGGCGGCGGCGACGACGACGGCAGCGCCCGGTCGGTCCGCCGGCCTGCCGTCCGCGACGGCAGCAGTGGCGGCGGCGGCGGCGGCTGAGGCTGAGGCTGAGGCTGAGGCGGCGGCGGCAGCAGACGAGGTGACGGTGGCAGCCGGCGGCTCGACAGCTCTGGAAACGAGGGTCTCGTCAACACATCATCACCAGGAAGAAAACGACCCTAAAACTCCTTCTCCCTGAGACCTCGCACAGAAAGCGTCAGTGAGCGATTTCGCTAGGGCTGCCAACTTCGGCAGCCTGGCCAGCCGCTATCCCAGGGCCGGGACTGACTGCGGCACTTCGTCGATCTATCGGCCTCTGCTTGCCGAGGCCCTTGACCTAGTGCTACTGGCACCGCGCGTGGTAGTCCGCTGCACGCGAGATAAGCAGCGACCCAGAACACAGCGGCGCATGGAAGCCGCACGATGATAACGACTCGAAAGTTGTCTGAAAGCGCTCGTGAACGGCATTAGGTGCACGCCGCCGCTCTGCAAAACTTCGCCACAGACCCGATGCGCAGACCCAGAGTTGGGTCCCAAAGTCACGCCCTCACTATTGTTGCCTTTTGACTATTGAGCCCAATAGAACAACGATGATCCTAACGCATTTCTGTGTGGCACCGGAGCGCTAGCTAGTGCTATGGTGGAAATGAAGGCTTCCATTGTGTCCCCGAACAGATCTGCCATTTGGTAGGTAGGAACAGTCGCATTTTGGACGAAAACACCACCAAACAACCGAGTGCTTTTCAAACAACACACGCAAAAGCCTCCCAAAAAGGAGTTTTGGGTAACGCAGCGCCATACTGCTCACGTAGTGAGAAGCTTGAACGGGTGGTAACGAACTCTTCACATCGATTCACAACCAGGGCGGGTGGGAGCCGTGATAGCATGTCTATTCAGACCACTCTGCACTACACAACGGCTCCCCTCTCATTCGCCCGGCCGCAGTACGCGGCCCTCCCTCGCGTCGCTGCAGCCGCGTGGGTGGGATTTCCCCGGCCTGCCACGTCACGTGACCGGCCGCGGCGCGCGCCGCGGCCGTGTGGGACAACGGACGCTTTGTTGGTGCGGTCCGGACGGATCGTGTCGCCCTGGCTGAGTGGTGCTCGGTCGCCGGCGGGTGGCGAAGGTATTTGTCGGGGAAGGGTATCTGCCAGGGCAAGGTATCTGCCAGAGTGAAGTATCTGCCGGGGAGGGTATCTGCCAGAGTAGGATATCTGCCGGGTAAGGTGTCTGCCGGAGAAGGGTATCTGCCAGGGTGGGGGTATCTACCGGGTAAGGGTATCTGACGGGCAAGGGTATCTGCCAGGGCGGGGTATCTACCGGGTAAGGAATCTGCCAGGGAAGGGTATCTGCCGGGAGGGATATCAGCCAGGAAGGGTATCTGCCGGGGTAGGGTATCTGCCATATAGGGTATCTGCCGGGGAAGGGTATCTGCCAGGGCCGGTGAAGGGTATCAGCTGGATATCTGCCAAGGAAGGGTATCTGCCGGGTAAGGTATCTGCCAGGGAAGGATATCTGCCGGGAGGGATATCTGCCCGGGAAGGGTATCTGCCGGGCAAGGGTACCTGCGGGCAAGGGTACCTACCTGCCGGGTAGGGTATCTGCGGGGTAGGGTATCTGCCGGGGAAGAGTACCTGCCGGGTAGGGTATCTGCCAGGGAAGGGTTATCTGCCGTGGTGGGGTATCTGCCGTGGTGGGGCATCTGCCGGGTGGGTACTTGCCTGGTAGGGTATCTGCCAGGGAAGGGCATTCACCGGGGTAGGGTATTTGCCGAGTATCCACTGCGAAAGGGTTTTCATCTGGAGGGATATTCACCCGGTTAGGGTTTCCGCCAGCGTACGTAGAATATCCGGTTGGGGCGGGTACCCGCCGGGGTAGAATGCTCGCTTGGACAGGGTATCCGCCGGTGTAGAGTACCCCGCTGGAGCGGGTACCCGCCGGGGGTAGAGTACTCGCTTGGACAGGGTAGCCGTCGGGGTAGAGTATCCGGTTGGAGCGGGTACCCGCCGGGGGACAGTATCCGGTTGGAGCGGGTACCCGTCGGGGGTAGAGTACTTGCTCGGACAGGGTAGCCGCCGGGGTACAGTACTCGCTTGGACAGGGTAGCCGCCGGGGTAGGACATCGGTCGGAGTACGGTGCCCGCCGGGTAGGGTATTCTCTGTCGTCGATTCTGGGAGGCTAAAACAACACTATATTACGGGACGTGGATTCTTGAAACAAAGAAAGGTGCGGGGATAATGCTTGGGCCGGGATGCAGTGCGCGTGACTCAACGGATTCAACAAAGCAAAATCATCAACAACATCCCTTCTCTGGATAAGCACCAACTCTGAGCAATCAGGACTACAGCGCTCACCCCAGGCAAGGTCCAAAGATCCGGACAAACGGCAGACGACGAATGCCAATGGCGCAGGCATGAAGTACTGTCCGGCCTATTACATCCATCGTGAGAGGACGGGCGGACTGAGGCCGTTCCGCACCCGTTGACAAACAGGGACGGGGCAGACAGCAGGCTGAATCAGCTCAAGTGGCTCTCCATCAACAACGGACAATGCTAGACAAACCTTAGCAATGCTAGATAAACCACAGCACATAGCTCGGGTCACCAGAGCACTTCGTGGAGAAGAAATGAAAATATGAAGCCGTCGCCCGCCCCCCCCCCCCCCCCGAAGAAACGCTTGGCTATCACATTTTGCCCATCCTGTCTCGCGATCCAATCTCTAGCCAAACATCTGCGCTGCACTGACTAGCGGGGTCTTGTATCCACCGCGACACCACGTGCCGACAGGGCCCTTCGCTCGCGTGTGCCGCGCGCCGCCGGCTCACGCCAGGGTTCAGCGGCCTGGCCGCGGCCCGGCGTCCCCTCCCTGCGCTCTCTCCCCGGGTAAGCTCGGAGAGCGAGGAAGCGGAAAGGAGCAGGGTCCGGCCGCCGGACGGGTGCCGCCGGAGCCGGGCCCCAGAGGCGGCCGGCTGATGGGCTGAGGCACGGAGCAGCGCCCTCGGGGACTGGGAGGAGACCTGCCGACTCGGAGACGGCTGATGGGCTGAGGTACGGAGCAGCACCCTCGGGAACAGGAACCTGCCGACAAGGAGACGGCTGATGGGCTGAGGTACGGAACAGCACCCTCGGGGACAGGGAGGAAACCTACCAACCCAGGGTCGGCTGATGGGCTGAGGCACGGAGCAGCGCCCTCGGGGACAGGGAGGAGACCTGCCGACCCAGGTACGGGTGATGGGCTGAGGTACGGAGCAGCGCCCTCGGGGACAGGGAGGAGACCTGCCGACCCCAGGACGGGTGATGGGATGGGATACGGAGCAGCGTCCTCGGGGACTGGGAGGAGACCTACCAACCCAGGACGGCAGATGGGCTGAGGTACGGAGCAGCGCCCTCGGGGACAGGGACCTGCCGACCCGGAGACAGCTGATGGGTTGGGGCACGGAGCAGAACACTCGGGAGTGGGGTTGGAAAGGGGGGGGGGTCATCTGTCAGCATCGCGACTCCGGAAGGGGTGGCATCACGAGTCATCGCAACCAACGAGTCAGATCCAGTCACGCCAGTCACGAGTCAACACGAAAGCAAGTGATGAAGACCACATTTTTTTTTTGTAGAGAATACGGTCTCCAGAAGGCCATGGCAGAGCCAGCAAGAGCCAAGGGACCAAGCAAGGACAGCCAGGAACAGCACAGTCCAGTTCGTGTTCAACAACCGAAACCGAAAGGATGAAACGGCGCGGTGCAAAGGGTCATGCCGAAGATGATGCGTTGCTGGTGTACCGGACCGGCGAAGCACCACTGCACTGGGAGAACAACGGGCGAAGTTTTTAGGAAGAATGCCGAAAACACCCCTTAGAGACGTCTGAAACGAGAGTGTCGCCGTGCGCTTCTCCTGGGCACATCGATCTATCAAATCAGCCACTGGGGCGACCGTCAGTGCTCACCACGTTCAAGTAGCTATCCTGATAATGGAATTTCACAAATCAGCTCCATTTCACATGCTTTCTATTGAAAATCCCTGTAAAGGCTAATATTTACCTTCGCAGCGATCCTTGTGACCAGCTCCGTCTAGTCCCGACATTCTTTCATCCTAATATAAACACTCAAACGGGCTGCAAAACGTCTGCTGGATTTACACCACGCTCAAGTCAAGACACCCCAAACATTGCAGTCTGAACGGCGCCGAGCCGACCCACGACATCACGCCCCGATCGCCTCCGATCAGACGTCCACGGCTCGACTCACCCGCGCGCTGCTGGCGGCGGCCGCAGCTCGGGCGACGCTGGCCTCCGAGCGTCCATCTCCTGGCGCAGACCCTCGCGACGGGCGGCACCCCCGTCCGCATCACTGTCCATCACCACCACTGCCGGCCGGAGCGGCACCGGCGGCGGCGGCGGCGGCGGCGGCACCGGCGGCGGCGGCGGCGGCGCCGACGGCGGGGAGCGCCGGCCGTGCGCGCCGGCGCCGCGCCGCTCGGCGTCCTCCTGCCGGTACACACTGTCGATGACGCGGCTGATCGTCTCGGACATGCCGATGGTGACCTCGACCACGCCGCTCCCGGCGGCGGCGTCCCCGGCGGCGGCCGGCTGCGCGGCCGGCGGCGGCTCGGCGCCGGCCAGCCGCGGGCTGGCGCTCTGCGGCCGCGCGCCCGGCGGGCCGTCGGGGCGCTGGCTCCTCTCGAACTGGTTGGTGAACCAGAGCCGCAGCGGGTCGCCCTGCCGGCCGCTGTCGCCTTGCGCCTTGGTCAGCATCTTCTCCACCACGTTGTCCGACGATGCGCGAGAGCCGCACCTCGGTGGTGGGAGACGTGGTCAGGTTGAGCGGCTCCATGTCGTCGGTTTGTCGGTGGCGGGCGCCGTTGAAGCCGTTGGCGGCCGGCGGCGCCGAGTCGCCGGTCCGCGGCAGCGCACGATTCGTGAGGTCGCCGGCAGGCGGCGCGGACACCTGCCGGAGGCGGGGGACTCGTGAGCCGGCTGCGCAGACCGTGAGACGTGCTGTACGGCTCAGTCACGCCGGCGGTGCGATCGGGAGGCACAGATTGGTCAGCCATCGACGGGTGCGTGCGGTGAAGGGAAATTGCGACGCGTGTTACGCGAGTTGAGCATCGTTGTGGCATGCCAATGCAGAACAAAAACATAAAAAACAGCTGTTTGAAAGCCACGGACAGAAACGCTACCGCGTTTACACATCCAACAAACTAGGAGTTTTCATGTGCCGCACCACCTAAGCAGCTGTTGCAGCACAAGCAACCAATAAAATACCCCGGGATCAGCCTTCGCTGTTGTGGGTGGGCGAGCACACCACACACCCTGTGAAGTGCGGTGGGCGAGCACACCACACACTACGTGTAGTGTGCTGGATTAGCACAGCACACTCTGTGTAGTGTGCTGGACGGGCACACCACACACTCCGTGTAGTGTGCTGGACGAGCACACCACACACTCCGTGTAGTGTGCTGGACGAGCACACCACACTCCGTGTAGTGTGCTGGACGAGCACACCACACACCCGCGCAGTATGCCGGACGAGCGCACCACGCACCCCGTGTAGTGTGCTGAACGAGCACACCACACACTCCGTGTAGTGTCCTGGACGAGCGCACCGCGCACCCCGTTTAGTGTGCCGGACGAGCACACCGCACGGCCAGCTCGCGCTCCCGGCCGCGGCGGCGCGGGCAGGTCAGCCGGCGGTCAGTTCGGGGCACGAGGACGGCAACCCCTACCTCGGAATCCTTCCTGAACTGGGATCGGATTGAGGTTAAAATCTGGCGGCCGGCTGGGGGCGCTCGATCTATCCGCATTCGCCCAAGCGGCCGTCTGCCGACGGCCCACATTCCTGGCGGCACCAGGCTCTGCCGGCCGTAGTACCGTTCCGCGGGAATAAGCGCTGGTCTAACCGGTCCATTCCGGTCGTTTTCCGGCGTTTCTCGCCGTCCCGCGGGCAACGGTTCGCGGCGGGACGGCTGCATTGGAGCGTGTGGCGGAGGGCAATAGTGGTCACTGCCGGTGCCGGCGACCTGTACCGCACCGAGGCGACCAGCACCCGTTTCGGGGGCGCGCAAACTGCGGTGCCTCTTCCGTCGTTGCGGCACATGGCCGGGCGCCAGCTAACAACAGGGGACAGCTTGTTGCTGCATCGTGTTATGGGCGGCCACGGCGGGTGCCGCGCGGCCTCGGCCTGCAGATGCGCACCATCACAGATATGGCAGCTCGGTAATGTGCGTAACGACGCAGTGTCGCTCGAAATTGCAAAGCTCCCAACGAAGCTTACGAGCGCTTGACGGCAAGTTGTACGCTGTTAGCCTGAGTCACAAGAAAGCGTTACAAGAGATAAGAAGCAAAAACTTGTTGGGATTTGAAATCGGGAAGACAAATGTGCGTCGCTTGCCGAAGACAGTATCTGTGCGACAGCTGGTGACTTCTACAACCTCATAGAGGTTGTAGAAGTCACCGGTTGTATGGGGTATGAGGTTGTAGTCGCCGGTTGTATAAGTATGAGGTTGTGGTAGTAGATCCCGGTGACTTCTACAACCTGAGGCTGTAGAAGTCACAGGGTTCAACACATTCAACATCTGGAGGCGACTTCAACACCTCTAACGGACACCACGGCGTCTCAAATGATATCGGCAAAGCAGGTAAACAACGCCATACCAACTTAAAAGCGCTGACAAGACCACAAGATAGAGATCACATCCACTGAAAATCGCATTTCCGCGGGAAATGGCTGATCGCCGGTATAGCCCAGCCTCAGCCTGAGCACGGGTCAGGCACGCCCGTCCCTGCGCCGGTCATCTCGGCCGTGCACCCACTCCAGTCTTCCGGGGTTTGTGCGCGCTCTGTCGGTCTTCCAGCCGACGCCAGCCGGCGATCGATACAAGGCGAGCCCGCGGCGTGCAAAACACGGCAGGCACTGATCCCGAGGCACCCGGAGCCGGGACAGCGGTGGGGCAACGGCAGGTCAGCAGGCCCGCATCAGGGGTGACGGCAGGTCCGACGCTGTGCCCCCGGAACCGGGACAGCGGTGGGGACAACGGCGGGTCAGCAGGCCCGCATCAGGGGTGACGCTGCGCCCCCGGAGCCGGGACAGCGGTGGGGACAACGGCGGGTCAGCAGGCCCGCATCAGGGGGTGACGCTGCGCCCCCGGAGCCGGGACAGCGGTGGGGACAACGGCGGGTCAGCAGGGCCCGCATCAGGGGTGACGCTGCGCCCCCGGAGCCGGGACAGCGGTGGGGACAACGGCGGGTCAGCAGGACCGCATCAGGGGTGACGCTGCGCCCCCGGAGCCGGGACAGCGGTGGGGACAACGGCCGGACGGCAGGCCCGCATCAGGGGCAGCGGTAGGGCTGACGCTGTGCCCCCGGAACAGGGACGCGGCGTGGTCACTACATCCCCTGCTAGGAGTCGCCGCCAGGTCTACATGGATTGGTAGGAGGTTCGAATAGATGGTGGCAAGACCCGGATAACAGCTGCAGTGCCAGGACAACGCTTCAGAAAGTTCTGAGAATAGAAGAGCCCCATCAAATATGGGGGAATAAGATAGGAACACACGCGGGCAGGCTCGAGGTGAGCACGGAAAGGTCCGGACGAAGGGTCGAGGGGTCCAGACCACTACACTTACGGGCGGAGAGGCCTGAAAATGCGCTGTGGCCCTACGAAAACACAGGATATGCGCGAAATACATGCGTCAACTCGTGAGCTTGAGTCCAATTCAAAATATGAGTAATGTTGTCTTCTATCTCAACTACCCGTGAATTCTACACCAAACCATCTAATTGACAATATATGGTAAGCTACCTAAAAACAACATTTAAAGTTGAACTTGAATGAAAAACGCAGAGTTCAGTTTAAGCTCCGGTTTATTAAACGTTTAAGTCCAGTTTAAAACTGCTTGTGTCTACTTGCTCTCGTGTCCAACTTGAGTTCGAGTATGAGTAAGAGTGGTGACAGTGGTGAAAGCGGTGAGAGAGGGGGCCCCATTCGCCTGTAAGATACGTCGTCGTGGGTCTGAAGCTGAACCAGATCCTGGACGCACACTGAACTATGCTTGACGACGAGAGGACACTGACGGGATGGCGATGACGAGAAGACGAGGACGAGGGCAAGGACGAGAGGATGACAACGAGAACGAGAACGAGAACGAGAGGACAAAATCGAGAACGAAAGGAAGAGAAAACGAGATAACGAGATAACGGGAGGACGAACACAGGGACAAGAATGAGATGACTAGAACGAGAGGTCGAGGACGAGGGCGAGGACGAGGACGAAGACGAGAAGGACCAGAACGAGGGGGCGAGAACGAGAGGACGAGAACGAGAGGACGAGAACAAGAGGACGAGAACAAGAGGACGAGAACGAGAAGACCAGAACGAGGGGACGAGAATGAGAGGATAAGAACGAGACGACGGGAACGAGAGGACAAGGACGAGCCCGAGAGGGCGAGAATGAGAGGACGAAAACGAGAGGACAAAGACGAGAACAAAAGGATGAGAACAAAAGGACGAGAACGAGAGGACGAGAACGAGAGGACGAGGACGAGAGGACGAGGACGAGAGAACGAGAATGAGAGGACGAGAACGAGAGGACGAGAACGAGGGGATGAGAACGAGAGGAAGCAAATGAGGGGACGAAAACGAGAGCAATAGCGGGCAAGAACATCGCATATCTATAATAATAATACAAAATGGTGGTAAACGGTTACAATGTCACAGTCAGCACTTCGGCGCCAATAAGTTAAGTCTAGATAGAGTGTTGGGGTCAAGAGATACTGCAACAGACAGGTCAGGCCCTGATACCAATGGTCCGAGACTCCGGGCACCGCCAAACAGAAGGGCGCGCGCTCTACCGTCTGAGCAGGGGCAGCGCAGATCACGGCCACCAGCCGGCACACCTGCTGGCACGGCCGCTGGGCTGCGTCTGGCCGCCCCCGCCGAGCTCTGTTCGCTCCGCGCCGGTGCACTGCGGTCCACGCAGGGGCGTTGAGTGGACAGCCAGCGGTGGGGAACAGTCATGGGATGGGGCAGCACATGAGTAACCGTGCTTAACTGTGAGCGCATCATCCGTTTTCTGCTGTCGTTGGCAAGACGTCAGCCTCCGAGTCAGCGCACAGCGACGCCGACGAGATGCCACAGGACTCGGCTGCAATGACTGCTGGTCAGGCGGCTCAGGGCGAATGTCGGTTGATGCGTAAGAGGCGGCACGCAATAGAGACGATGCCCCCTGGCAATCAAATGTAAAAAAAACCTATAAGTTCACCAAAGTTCGGTAAATCCGACCTTTTGGCTGAAATAAGTTTTTCCAATAATCAAAGAAAGCCACGCCCCATCGAATTATGAAAAAAACAGGACAGCAAACTAGAAAAGTAGGAAACCAGAAAATAAAAGCTGCAGAGCGAAGTTTTCAAAACGCAAATGTGGATACCCGCCCTGAACGTCGGGCGGCTGATGGCGCATCGAGGTCCCTGGGGAGACCAATCAGAAGACCAGCAGCGACACAGCGCTCGGCAAGCCTAGTCTTGACGAGTGAAGCGCTAGGCAAAGACGACCAGGGGGAGGACACTGAAGCAGCGGCCACCGAGGTGCTTAAGATCAGCTTGCCTGATTTTGACCTGGGAAAGTCAGATGTCACTATGATTCGCCATTTGCCGCGGAAAGATTCGTTGATTCGAGCATTCGCTCACAAACAGAACATGAGAAATTGACTACGTTCCTGAGCGATCCGCTCGCGGAGGCTGAAGGCGAGACCTAAGCAAAGCTGCTCGCGTAAAAGAAAACCGAAATATCTGGTCCGGCCGAGGCCGTAACAGGATTCCTGAGTTCAAGCGGGCGAGGGGCCCGCCCCCGGTCAGGGCGTTCTGCGTGGACCATATGCGCCGGCTCACGCGAGCTGGAGCCGCCTCTGCGTCCGCCCCGAGGCCTGAGGTGACCGGCGGGAAGATGGACGGCGCAGGCACCGGTTCTCCAGCGGCTGCCGGCCCCCGCCCCTCTCCGCGGCCGCCCGACGGCCCTTGGCCCACACGGGAGGGGAGCTGCACCTGCCGGCGGGGCGGCGGCGGCCGCCCCGCCGGCCTCCAGGTCAAGGTCGGCCGAGGTCACGCCGGTTAACATGTCAAGGTCGGTCAGGTCAGACCTGAGGCGCGAGCAGCGACACCTGAACTGCTCACCCTCCGACAGCACGTCAGCCAGTGTCAACGTCAGTCTTCGTGCGGCTCGGAGGACAATGTCAGTCTCCAGGGCGGTGGACTGCATTTCTGTCACTGCCCATACAATGGACTTTTTCAAAGTTTTCTTTCCTTTTTGAAGACCAGCAGAAGTTTTCGACGCGATGAGAAGGCGTGGTTCCGGAGCTCAGCTAAATATGTGGGTTAATTTTGCCTAGTCGTAGCGGCAGCCATACCCAAGAAGTCAACTCCATTTTTCCGACACAAAGCTAGATCAAAGTCGAGTACAGTAAAAGAAAATCGTGACAAAAAAGGAAGAAAACCTTGCAGGCCGCTGTTTTCTGTCCCAGGCTCCGCCCCGGCGTTGAGCGTTTGATACTGAGCTTCTTTCATCCTGCTGCACGTGTTTACGTAGCTTTCCTTTTGAGCCTGTGCGCGTTCTACTTTGATTGTTTACTTACGTCTGCTATTTGCTCTCATGTGCGGTACGGAGTGTGATGAGCTACAGATTAGGCCACGTAGATGATATTGTCGATACTCACAAAAAACATGCATAGATACGCATTATGTGTTGCTTTGGTGTAAAAATCATGATCATTGCCCGATGCTTACCATCATCATGCTGAGCATTGACGACGCAATGGGCAGCAACGACGGGCAGCAATGATGGGCAGCAACGACGGGCGGAGCTGGTTCCGAAAAACTGAGGCTTTTACGTGATTGAAGGCCCATCATTGCGATATGGCCTTATTTGCAGGCGGTCCACTGCACTGGTTCCGTACGGCATACCCTTCCACGGGAATAGGGAAGAGTCTGTTATTTTTGTAACGGTACCAACAACAATAAAATCTGCATTCTTTTTAACGGGGACTGGATTTAAAAGTGAAGGAAATTTCCAAGGATGAAGGCAGGCAGCTATTTTGAGCACTGTCACTGCAGCCAACTCAATTCTTGAAGGTTTATATTTATAGCTGTGAATCTTATTTATCCACGTAATGGCCGCAGAAGGCGATCCTTCACACCTAGATTAGGGAGAAAAAAACAGTTCACCATAAATAAGCTTGTTATGGACTATTTGCTGCCCTAGCAGACATGAGATTCAGTAGTGATACGCATGGATGCCGATTAGCGATGGTTTATGCGAAAATACAGACCTAGGACATAATTTTGGCCGGTGACTTTAATGTGTTTAACAAAAAACACAGATCAAAACCGAGACTGGCAAGTCAGAGGGAAGTACGTAACTACTGTAAACGTAGAAGCGAGGCGTTAAAGGAAAACTTAGAACTCATTTGCAGGATGTGTGACAACTATGACCCCAAAAAGGAAATGATCAGAGGCACGTTGAAAACTTTAACCTATTAGCCTTCTGCCTGTAACCAATAAAATTATGGCAGGCAATGGCTTTACGGTTTAAAAAGCTGGAAACAGTTTGATCCATTCAGACGAGACTGGTGTCCTCAAAGATCGATGCATTGATAAAAACATCAAATTTGCTCTGGAGCGACTGGAGTGCAGAGAGCGCAGTAAAACAAAACCATTTCTTGCTCGATGCAATTTGTTTAAAGCTGCACAAGCTGGATGTGTGCGAACATGATTTTCAGAGCATCAGGTCTCGGGCCCTTACTTCCGACGATTGCTGTCTGTTTTTTACCCTCCTCGAGCGCACAGCGCGTGAATGTATTCCGATAATTTCATGCTCCGGAGCTCCAGATCCAAGGCGGAACACGACAAGGATGCCCACCAAACTGTCTGACTTGGACACAAGAAGGATGCCCACCAAGCTGTCTGACTTGGACACTACGCATTGAGCCGCTGCTGAGAAAAATTGGGACAGAGACGCTATCCGGGTTGTTTCCGTTTTTTTCAGAGACGCTATGTTTTCCGATGCTTAGATCAATTCATCAGCCTATGCTAATGACTTGACGGTGATTTTAGACGGGTCGAAGGACACGATGACAAATGCGGTAACCGTGCTGAATGAGCTTCAAGCAGAAGCTGGACCCAAGCTAAACTTTGCAGAAACTGCCAGTGCGTGAATCTGTTGTTTTTGGATCGTCGGATCGGTTGATTGTTTTTGTTGACGGCCAAGCCGTTCAGAGGAAAATAAAGGAAAAATTAGAGCGACAGGCATTTACGTGTGCGAGTTGGGTGACAAAGCAGAGAACGCAACAAAGGCGCGGGCGCTGGGTGCTCGCGCCCGTCTCCGCCACGGTTCGCCGGCGTACCACCGGCGGACCACTGACGGACCACCGGCGGACCACCGGCGGACCACCGGCTGATCACTAGCGGACCACCGGCGGATCACCGGCGGATCACCGGCTGATCACTGGCGGATCCTGGCGGACCACCAGCGAACCACTGACGGACCACCAACGGACCACTGGCGAACCACTGACGAACCACCAGCGGATCACCGGCGGACCACCGGCCGATCACTGGCGGATCCTGGCGGACCGCAGGCGAACCACTGGCGGACCATCGGTGGGCCACTGACGGACCACCGGCGGACCACCGGCGGACCACCGACTGATCACTGGCGGATCCTGGTGGACCGCAGGTGAACCACTGACGGACCATCGACGAACCACTGACGGACCACTGACGGACTACCGGCGGACCACCAGCGGATCACCGGCGAACCACCGGCCGATCACTGGCGGATCTTGGCGGACCGCAAGCGAGCCACTGACGGACCACCGGCGGACCACCGGCGGACCACCGGTGGATCCTGGCGGACCGCAGGCGAACCACTGACGGACCACCGGTAAGCCACTGACGGACCACCGGCGGACCACCGGCGGATCCTGGGGGAACGCAGGCGAACCACTGACGGACCACCGGCGGACCCTAGCGGACCACCGGCGGCCCACCCACCTCCCGCGGCGCTAGGGCTGCCGCCACTGGGCGCGTCTCGCGCGGCCCTGACTCTGCCCCTCCCCCCACCGCCGGGGGTGCCGACAGAGCCTCGGGGGCGCTGGGCGCAGGTCGGCGGCCGGTGGCGTAACCCGCGGGGCTGCCAGCGCCGGCCGGAACGGCGTGTCGCCGCCTTGATCACGTCAACCCGCCGGGGGTCGTGAGGTCCGCACGGGGATCAACACCGGTGACCTTCGTTCCAGGGAGATCTGTTGGAAACTTGGCCGCCGATTGAGATATGTGAGCGCTAATTGCTGACATCACTGCGATAGTTTAAGCCGTGGTGGAAAAAGTCGCGAATCTGTTCGATCATTGCCGGCTCAATCGATCGCCTTCCCCAAAATTCACGGGCCCGCAGTCTCGAGCATTCTCACGGTGGGAAAGCTAGCCTCTTCGACGCACGCCGTCCCTCCCACCCGGATCCGACCCCATCGCGCCACGCACGGACCACGCTCGGACCAATCACCGCGCCGCCCGTCCGACGAAAACAGAGCCGTCCCCGTCCGCCGGCCACCAGCCGAGGCGCACCGCGCGGCGGCGGCAATGCACACCGCCGTCTTTGTCCGCGGCTTCCAGAGGACGCCGGGGCATAGGTGCGACGGGCGGCCGGCGGCCGGCGGGGCGCTGACCGGGCCGAATACGGTCCGGCCAAGGCCGCCGCATCCCGAGCAGCACGTCGGGCCGTGTGCCGGGTCGCGCCGGCCGCGTCGCACCCGGCACACCCTGCGGCTCCGGCCGGCCGTCGCAGCTACGGTCGCGCGTGACGTTACAGTTACCGGTGCGGCATTTGATGCGGCCGGCCAGTCGAAGCCCGCTTCGGCGGCCGCAGCCGCCGCGCCTCGAGCCACCGCCGCCTCGAGCCACCGTCACCTCAGCAACACCGCACCTCCGAAATGGCAGTGCTTCCGGTTCAACGGGGGCAAGTGCTCGAGTTGATTGCACATCACTGGCAGGCCAGGGGTTTCTCTGAACAGGATTTTGTGCAGGCCAACGGGTAAGAGCAGAACGGGCGCAATCAAGACAGCTAGCGCCGGCCTTGGCCTGTCGACCGGAGGTCGGCCGGCGCTCTTGCCGGGGTCTTACCTCTGTCAGCCCCCCGAGTCGGGGCGGATTCTCCATAAGGTAGCGCTTCTTGGGCGGCCGCGGCGGCAGAGGCGACATAGTGGCCACGGGCTGGACGGCGGCGGCCGGACGGCTGCTGACCACAACTCCCTGCCGGCCCATCGGAGCATCTGCCCGACACACACAGCAGATGTTAGAGACGAACCAGGGACCGCTGCTGACCACGACTCCCTGCCAGCCCATCGGAGCATCTGCCCGACACACACACAACATATGTTAGAGACGGACCAGGGAGCGCTCCTAACCACAACTCCCTGCCGGCCCATCGGAGCATCTGCCCGACACACACACAACAGATGCTAGAGACGACCAGAGACGGCTGCTGACCACAACTCCCCGCCGGCCCATCGGAGCATCTGCCAACACAACACCACAACAGATGTTAGAGACGGACCAGGGACGGTGCTGACCACAACTTCCCGCCGGCCATAGAGCATCTGCCCGACACACACACAGCACATGTACGAGACGGACCAGGGACGGCTGACCACAACTCCCTGCCGGCCCATCGAGTATCTGCCCGACACACACACAGCAGATGTAGAGACGACCAGGGACGGCTGCTGACACAACTCCCCGCCGGCCCATGGAGCATCTGCCCGACACACACACAGCACATGTACGAGACGGACCAGGGACGGCTGCTGACCACAACTTCCTGCCGGCCCATTGGAGCATCTGCCCGACACACACACAGCACATGTAGAGACGGACCAGGGACGGTGCTGACCACAACTCCCCGCCGGCCCATCGGAGCATCTGCCCGACACACACACAGCACATGTACGAGACGGACCAGGGACGGCTGCTGACCACAACTCCCTGTCGGCCATCAGAGCATCTGCCCAACACACACGCCACATGTCAGATGGATCACACAATCGTGAGAGCAAGATGGGACACCACATGGTAACACGGATATCCACATGGTAATACGGATGAACGCAGCGTGACACGGCACCAAAGCACACAGCACACATCAGACCAGTGGGGCGCGGGTGCGGAACACGGCACATCGCAGCGACGCAGTGAACAGCGGGTGCCAGATGTCAGGACCTGATCACAGAAAGGGCAACACAGTAGGACGAGCCACAGCACACGCACGTGAGTCGACCGTGATGCTACGCGGGGCCTTGGGACGGGCCGATTGCGCTGGTTATGCGGCGCCCAGGAGCGTGTCAGAAGTGCCGGATCAACACCAGACAGGGACACAGCGCTTCACACAGCGCATCGCAGGGGGGAGGGGACACAGCGCATCACAGTGCACAGCAGGCTTGCCAGAAAGCAGTCCGATTGGCAGCAAGGAGACAGCACAGACATCGGAAGAAAACAAAACAGTCGGATGTACAACGTGCAGATAGAGCGGGCGCAGTGCTCTGCGGAATCAAGAGCGGTTCAAAATAGCATCGCGTCCGAAATTTCGCTCAAAGGTTTTATGCAGGCTTTTCACCCGCTCAGTCCAAAAACAATGAATTTGGACACGACGGATGAGTGGATGCCAAAACTACTAACTGTGACTAAGACACATGTTCAGTGGGTTGGCTTATGATGACATAATGCCTTCTGTTTCTGATAAAAGCTTCGCTCCAGTCGTCACGTACACAAACACTCAACGAACTGTTTTACACCAACGCAGCGCAATAACACTGGAAGTGCTCTAAAGTGTTCCAGTTGCCCTCAAATCAGTGAATCTATTTGGAGCGCCATGCACTGCACGAGTGGATATTACCCAGTGATTGGCTCACTGTGAGTACCGTTTTAGAGCTGCTACTCATGCAAACAGCCCATTAAAATAGCTTTGCTGAACGATGGGGAGGCTCGCAGCAGAGGGCCGCGACCAACGCCGCTGACACGGTCCAGCGGCGGCGACCCGCTGGCGGACGCGCACCCACCAGAGGGCTGACCTGCGCCTCTCGCCACCCCCGCTCCCCTGGTGGCGGGGCTGGCGCGCCCAGCCACCGCGTCCGGTCGCGCCCACAGGTCGAGGGTGATTGGGTCAGAGATGTCTGGCGGATCAGAGCGATGCGTCAGAGCAGCCCAAAGGTCAGGCTGGTCACGGGAAGGGCTTTGAGGGGTCGGAATGATCAGTGGGTCAGGGTGATTATGATGACCAGTGTGGCTGCAGCCGCCCGAGCGGCTACAGACGTAAGCTAGGTTAGAAGGTCAAAGGGCTCGCGCGTGCCAGAATGGCGAGTGAGATCAAAGGGGGTCGAGGCGTCAGAGTGACCTGAAAGGACGGAATCGTCAGAGGGACGGTCGGAAGGCCACGGGGCCGGAGAGGTCCGCACGGCAGGCGAGGATCAGACGTGTCAGCAGACCAGCGACCAGGGGGACATGAGAGCCCGACCGGGGGGCCCTTACGCCCCCCCTGGCCGGGCCCTCCCCGCCCACCGGCCCCCGTCGGCGGCCCGCTCTCACCAGCTGAGGGGCGAGACGAGTCTCTGTCAGCCGGGGCGGCCAGCAGGGCAGGCGCAGCGGCGGCAGCGGCGGCGGCGGCGGCGGCGGCGGCGGCGCCCGGCGGCAGGCCCCTCGCAGCCGAGCCGTGGCGCGCTGGAACGAGGCGCGCCGTCAGCTGAGTGTCGAGCGGCGCCGCTTCCGGCGACGCGCGCCGTTCCCACGCACCGCGCCCGAGCCCGGACCCGGGCCCGGGCACTGCACGCCACCGGCCAGACGGGTCGGTCCGCGAGGCGCCGGATCGGCCACGGACGGCGCGCTTTCCCGGCACGATCGCGGCGGTGATTTCGGACTGGTGTACAGGTTACAGTTTAGATGTGGCGATAGGGTCCGGTGTCGTGTGCCGGCAACGTGCGAGCAGACGCCTTGCCGACCGTGTGATGACGGGAAAGGACTAGCAATCAGCTGATTGCCAGCATCGTGACCCAGCGGATTTGTCAGCGGCGGACGTACAGACCGACGTCGCAGGCTGACTCGACTGCCGTGCTGAGAAGCCCCACAGGTAAAGCCCATGACACGTGGCGTAGCGCCAACACCGGTCCCCCTGTCTGACCCGGCGGTTTGGGGCTGCTTCACCAGGGGACCCCTGCCGGCTTCCGGTTCCGAGCGGGCCCCGCCGCCGCGGCGCCGGCTGCCGGCCGCCCCGCCGCACTGACCGGTGACGTCAGCGAACGGCGGGCGCCGTCCGGTGGCCGGCGCCGAAGCCAGAGCCGGCCGCGCGCGCCGGCGAAACAGGAAGCGGCCGGCGGGCGGCCGGGCGGCGCGGCATGCTGTGCAACATGAGGCCCGGCCGGCGCAGACGGCCGCCGGTTGCGGTCACGCACCGGGATGATGGCCAGCAACGGGCGCGAGCCGCCACGCGGTCGCAGCAAGACCGTGCGGTGGTTAGGGAGGCCAGGCCCGGAGTCAGCCGTCGGGAATGCGGGTGTGAAATCGGATGGTAATTGTACGCTTATTTATCAGCGCCTGTAATTGCCGAGGTCATTAGCGCGTGAGGTACGGAGGGAGTGTGCTGTTGGTGGTCAAATGCTTATAAGCATGCACCCCTGTCGTTATAGACTAAACGGATCGGTCATGTCGTTCGGTACACGGCAGAGGCCATTTTCAGCGAGTCTACTGCGTGAGTGTGGGGTGGAGCGATCTGGTAGCTACAGGAACCGGTTCATCCCTACTGCACCCATTGGAATTCAAAAACGTGTAACGGAATAATAAATGCTCCCAAATAATGCATACAGAAATGGTGCCGAAGCATGCCGGGCCCACCAAGGACACACTCCGCAACTTGTTCATGGTTGGTATTCCTGGGTGCTTCCTGACCGACTGCATAACAGCTCTAGCAGCGGCGGCGACACCAACTCTCTCCGCAGTCTAATTTTTAATACGTTGCTATCGGGAATGCTCGCTCCCGGCAGCCCGGCCACATCAGTACGATCTATCCGCTCTCGACAGGCGTGTCTGCATTCCGAACAAGAGGTCAATTTCCATCGGTTTGCCCATACATCTGACGCAAGATACTCTCATACTGCATGGGTTAGGGACGCCGCATTAAAAGGCGGCTGATAAACAAATGTGTTAAGCAGTGTAGCTTTTATACTGCAGTACGGTATGAGAGGTCAAAGAAAATTGTTCGATAACAATTTCGAACTACAATGAGTTAAACAAACTTATTCGGCGGAAGCGGAACTGACTTCGACTCCGACTCGGAGCAGCCAAGAGCAATTATGAGTTCACTCTGATGGAGCCGATTCCAATGACGACAGCTTGGGTCTGACGAATTCTATGAGCTCCATTAAGCATACAAAATATAAGCATTTCACAAATAAGACATAATGTTTGTGTGTGGGGGCTTGTGTGCGCGTAGTACATTGTTCTACACACAAAAGCCGCGAGAATGAGGATACATGTCGTCTTTTCCTTCCAATCTCACTCAACCCATGATGAATCCAGTTGACTCGGCTCTTCACCTCCGCTCGCTCTAACGTATACACTTTGAACTGAATCGATTTCACCGAGACTCAACACCAGTCTGATTTATTTGGAACCGGCCCCGGCCCTAGCTGTGGTCCAGCTTCAGCTGGATTGCACTGCAGGACAAGACGGGTTGCGGCCCCGACCTGCGGTTACAGATGTGTTCTGCACGGTCAGTAACAGGCAGACGCCGTGGTTCAAACCACCAAGATGTTCGCGTTTTTCCGCGGAAAGGTAACTATGCAGGGCGCTTACGAAAGAGGAAAAACTCACTCGTAGCATTTTACCATAGGGACATGAAACCACCTTGATATTTCCAACTGTTGCCACTCGCTTATAATAACAGACAGGAGCTACGCTGGAACGCATTTGGGTAATCTGCATGTAAAAAGCAAACGCGAAAATGCGCTAGTCCACACGTGCAAACTCCTTATCATTTAAACAGCAATATGTGTGAATGCAAAGAGGCTGGTACACGACGTCTCTGCCATACTTTGGACTTCCGTTAAAAATACCGTCAATACGCTGCAGCTTTTTCTATTCGATTGGGGAGGTGGGATGGAGTCCTACAAAACTGAAAGAAAGGTGGGCAAAAATCCGGGTGAAAACAGTTGTTTCTTGTGCTTTGAATGCATTTTAGTCATCCTTCCCTGTCAACCCTCCCCCTCCTCCACACTCATTATGCGAACTTCCCCTGCGTCAAGTCAATCTTAACAAGAATCCTTAAACACTACGCCCGCGTACCAGCACGCTTCACCACATAGCTGGTGGACAGCAGAACTGAAAGCCGCTTCAACAATGGCATGTAGAAACATCTTTCCGTTCGCAAAACATCTCATCACGCACTCGTAACATAATGTCACAGAGCGTTCTGTCGCATGGGGCGCGCCGTGCCCAACTAACCGTACATTGACACACGCCTACAAACACCAAGCGCCACACACCACACTATCGCACGGCGTGCGGTCATGCTGGTCATGCGATCGTGCTTGCACTAATCGTGCGATCAAACTCACTAATCATGCGGCGGCGGCCACATTGCATAATGCAGGCCGCTGCCGACACGCTCCGGTGCTGGCGGCAACAATGACAGTCTGTTCATCCGAGGACACCGTCTCCACTGCGGGACACGTGGGACGTGCCGTGCGTTCCGCTGGCTGGTCAGCAAACTGGGCGGCGCAGGGCACAAAAGGCGGGCCCAATATTTGTCCAACGAGCCACCGCGGGCTGTGACGTAACATCACCGCTTTGCCAAGCATGACTGCACTTCGCACATATAATTATCTCGCAAAGGCAAGGCAACGCTTCAGGAGCGAGACACTGTAATAACTAATGGGACGCGTAAAGTGCCGTCTAAAAATGACGCACCCGTATAAAGTAGCTCTGTTCTAGACGTTCAGTTGTCTCCGCTTGAGTCCCCGCCACCAACTCTCGTTTGTCACATCCGTAGTGTCTTAGACAGGTACGCATTTGAGCGAACAATGGCTTCACAAGACGACGCTGCTAACAAAGGGCAACCGCCCGCCGCCATGACTGAAGGCAAAAGTTCTGCTTTATTCCTAGCACTGACGACCAATTCAACACAACATTCAAGTTTTGTAAAAGTTCTACTTTACTTGTGCTTTAAAACTGTGACGACATCACGCGACCATGTCTAAGCCATCGACAACCCTGCACAGTACGTTATTCACCGCTAGAATCAAAATCGTGGAAAGACGTTGTCAAAGTCACCGTGAGCCGTTCCTTCCCAATTTCACGCGTTCTCCTTCCTGTGGATACAATGCGCAGACAGCACCCACCCAACGCGAGACCCGCCGCCAACATGAGGCCGCGTACCGCAACCGAGCCCCGCAGGTCGTCCGGCCGTGGTTCCGGCCGGGCGGACGCCGGTCGGCTGATGCCACCACGCTCTCGCCGCGCCACGGATGAGACCAGCCCACCAGCTATTCTGCACAGCTCAAGCGCCGCCAAACACGTTGCGAAACCGGCGCGCAGCATGGCGCAATCCTCCCACCGCCGGTGCGGGGTTTGGTAGGGGACGGGCGCAGCCCCCCCCCCCTCCCCTCTGCGGTTCCCTGCTGCACGCATTGCCGCCAGAGGCAGGGGCGAGGCCAGGATACGGACACAGGCAGGCTTACGCGGCCGAGGAAATGCACAGCAAGTTTACTTGGTACAGAACACACACACACACACACACCACACACACACCACACACACACACACACACACCACACACAACAACACACACACACCACACACACAGCACACACACGCACGCACGCACGCACGCACGCACGCACGCACGCACCGCCGCACGCACGCACGCACGCACGCACGCACGCGCAACGCGCACCCCCCCCCCCCCCAGCGCACGCGCATACGCACACACACACACACACACACACCACACACACACACACACACACACACACACACACACACCACACACACACACCAACACACACACACCACACACACACACACACACACACACACACACACACACACACACACAACACCACACACACACACACAACACCTGAGGCGGTAGATGGCCGCCGACTTTTGGAGCTTGCGGCATTGGCGTGTGAAGAAAAAGCCCCGCTGCAACGTCCCCTTATGACCTTAATTACCAAGTACCGTTCGCGCTCGCAGCACAAATAGAATCATGCCGCGCAGAAAAGATTCTGACAATGGCTTCCTTTATCAGAATATGCTAACTTGCATAATTTCGTCCAGGGCCTACCAGCTGACCTCGTTCACGATGGTAGTGACCGTGGATAATTGCGCCTTCTCCAACGGTAATGGGTCCGGGCAAAAAAAACTGTTTTTTCTTGTAAAACTGTGCACTGTGATTACAGTTTTTTAAGCCTAAAAATCCTCGAACAACGAAATATCGTCACTTTCAACGCTGACATCAATAACAGAACATCCATCATTGCACTGTTCAGTTTATTGTGTTAGGGCTGATTAATGCTTTTCATTGGGCTCACACATACCCTCATTTGAAAGGTACAAATGCGTCTCTGATGGCAAAGTAAGCTACCAGAAAGACAGAAGA